TCCATTTCTGTTGACTCGAGGATCTAATAAGCACTGTTCCGCTCTCACGTAGTGCTCAAAAGTGCTGAATATTATAATCTTTCTGGCAAACGAGGCCGCATCCGCAAAATCAATTAATGGAGATTTTAAATATTGCATACGTGACAACTTAAAAAAAGTGGTGGAACCTTTGGACCCCCTAAAATTAAAGGCATGGCATAAAAGCATCGCTATTTCAGGGTTTTTGGAAACATCTCTTCTACTCCCACTAATTTAATTTCGGGACAATATTCTCCCCTCGATTTTGTCAACCATGAACGATAATGGGACCTAACCGCATAATATTAACAGTAATTAATGACACTTTATTCTCTCGACACTGCAGTTGCTACACTTCCGGTTTAATCGGCGTAGTAGTCAGTCCTTTGCTCGTTGGGGTCAACGCAACTAACCGAATTAAGCGATATATGATAAAATGACTACTCTAATCCCACATTTAATGAGTCCTTATGCCCTCTGACAAGCTCATTACTCATAACGAGGTGACATCTAAAGCAAAGCTGACATCAGAAAAACCAAACTTCCTCCGAGGTCCGAATCCTTAGTCATGTATATCATGCGACTCCACTGCTTTCACCACCACCTCTCACTCCAAGAAGATATTGGACAAAGAGTAATAAACCAGAAGTCTTCAGTCCTGACGGCAATAAATTACAATCGGAAACACCAAGCCAAGGAGGTCACTCGCCCATACAGTCCATTTGTAACTTTAAGTCAAAAGTATTAAATTGGCTAGAAGTAATCCTGTCTGGGATTCCTTCACCCATGTGACTACGAAGGGAAGAAGAGAAGTGCGTGAGTACTATGAGAGAGTGAAAGTCGGTCTGGATTCTAGTGAAAAAAGGGTTTTATGCACCCATAGTTTTTCGTGGTGAGAAGAAAGTTGTTTTGTTTTTAGATTTTCCCATGTATTTCTGGAGTACAAGTTTTATTATTATTTATCTTACTTTGTGGTGGCGGCGGGAGTGGTGAAAAGTTAAAGTCTTTATTGATACAAAAAGTCGGGCCAGACGTAGATTAGTGAGAACCGACATGGATGAAACGTTCATCTAATCAAATCAAGTTAGGTGGCTGTCTTCTTATCTAATTGACAAAAGTTGAGTGAAAGTCAGTTGTTAACGCGGCGTAGAAAATGTGCTAATCAGATATGACGAAAGGGGCGTAATCGTAATTGTAATTCGCAAGTTTCTTACTGCTTAAAAAGTTAAATCTACTACTTTTTAGCCCATTTCATCCTATATAGACTCGTGAGAGGAGAAACCTACTTCCGTGTCCAGGCAGCAGATAGATACGATTAATCCTACACAATCTTTGCTCTCTCTTTGTCCTAGTTTTTCTTCCCTGGGAAAGTACGGCGTAAAAAAAGACAGATAGGGCGCAAAACTAAGCAACCACCAATCACCGAGCAGGCAGAGTTCAAAGTTTTTATTCTTTCGTAGTAAAATTGTATCAAGTTATTGCACGGTGACCGTTTCTCGGATTTTATGCACGATGGAAGAACAAGAGGAACATTTATGTCTTCCTGGAAAAATGAACGATCAGAGAGAAAGTTTTTTTGTGCCAAATTGAGATCAAGGGCGATTATCGTGTCATTCATGGGATAAATTGTGGTGTACGCGCATATTTAACTAAAATTTCCAGTTTAGATTTATGTATCAAAAATATTTGTACAAGATTTAAAACAACATCCCTCTCTCGCATGGTTCACATGAGGTCATTTAACTCGTTCGTTGATGACACACGTAACCAAATACCACTCAAACGCGCATTACAAAGTTTAAACCCACGGCAAATAGAGCGTTATCGATGACACTCTAAACTTGGCACTTTCACTTGCTTGCTAAACTTGGCACCATGCATTATCCAATGCAATTGAATTTCGATTAATTTTACTAAAACATTTCGAAACCGGGGAGATGGATCACTTTACCAAGTGAATTAACTAACAGAGTCATGACGTACTTCCTGCAGATATTTGCGTTCACAATTTTCAATTTGTATGGATTTTGTAAAGTATCTACTGCGAAAACTAGTGTTCATATCACGCAACACGATATTACATTTTGGTGGGTGGGCTTTGCAAAGTTTGAAATTTGATTTGATTGCGTATGTGATTATTTTGCAAAGGATGAGTTGTTTGTGTTCGTTGGTGAAAGTTGGATATTGGTGACAAAAGGGGAATGGACCGGAAACTTTGGAATTATTATCAGCTCAAAGCACTCACAAACACACCTACCTATGTACTAATAAACTGCTCTTATCATCATAATTCCAAATAATTTTTAATCCTTTCCGACAAAGTGTGATGACATGACATTGATGACCCCGTTGGGTGCTGTCATATTTCTTCCAAATATACAGTTTTCAACCCACTTTTGGTTCGTTGGACACTGGATTTAATTAACATTCAGTCACAAAATACCAGCAAAGAAGAATTCTAATAATATTTTGGAATAGTTCACTTTCCCATTAAATTGGATTGGTATCTATTCTTAACCTTCTTCCTTGGTTGAATTTGGGGGCGAGTTTGTAAATATTCCTCAGGGGTTTCTCCTCAATAAACCTTGTTGTCGGTTGTCGAAATAGTTTCACCAAAACAAAAGTTTCAATGTTTTTGATGTTCGAGTACAAAAGCGATTGCAAACTGCTACATGTTGCACTAATACCATTGATTCATCCCAAAATCCACGGTGAACCGCAACATTCACAACTGCAGAGTATCTTCTGACGACAATACGAGGACATGTATGTAGTAAAGTTATGTGTGGTACATTTTTGGCGTGATGTCGTCATACGAGGGACAATCTCATCAAGTGAAATTTCATCATCTAGTCTTTGTGACATAACAAATTCTGATGGTGAAAGCCCGTCATGTGTACATTGATAAAATTACTCATTTGGAGAAAGTTGTCATCATCCCCAAAGTTTTTTTAAAGCAGGGTGACAAGAGATATAGTTCGCTAAATGCAATCCTTTTAACAACTGAATTCATTGGAAGGGCACGTTTGTTACGAGACAAGGATCAAGACGGAATTGTCTGCTGATCGGATTTAATAGACGAGTTCTAAATGTAAATAAAGCTTGAACCTTGATGAACTTTGGTCTCTTATTTCAAACTTCACCTACCAGGTTCAAGCTACGCATTTTTATTGGAGAGCACGCCCGATTTAAGGGGGACCTACAATACAAATAAATACTTGAGACATTTTCATCAACATGCAGAAATAGATAGTTCTCGAAGTTATTTATTGATGTTTTTGAAATCTGTAGGATTGATAAGCTTCTGTTTTATGGATATTTTTATCTACATTCATAATTTCCTGGTAGTTGTAAATTACTTACTGATGACCTTGCACTTGATTTGTCGTAAATAATACTAATTGGACAAATGTGTTGATGACCAGTTTATCCTTAATTCAACATAACCTAACTTGCATTTCACCACCACTAACCAAATAAATACCCACGTGACACGTTGTTTTTATCATATTTTTCCCATCTCACTCGACTTGTTTTCTAGCCTCATCGGAAAACAAGGATAATTGGTCGTTAATAACATTGGAAATTTTGGGCTGGTTGGTTCTCTGCCTTGCAATGATTGCCAGTGGGAATATGGGAATGAAAAGTGCGACGTAGCGAGGAAGAGGAGGCGATTTCTCTCCGCAACGCAGACCGCAAATTAAACAACACATTCATTCAAAAGCCGAAATTGCTTTCCTTCTTGGCCCATTACCACCACGAAGAACGGACAGACCTGCTGCCTGATGGCTGCGATGACAGACCGGCTTTGTGCAGATATGAGCAATATCACCCAGCTAATTTGACTCACAAAGTAAACTTGCTTTAGGCCAGGACCACCACTAAGGCGTTACATTAGTCCTGACATCTCGATATAGGTGCACCTTGTCCTGCTGGAGTGTGTGCTTGCTTATTACCCAGAAAATTATTAGGCAGCTATGTCTAACCCCCAATTTTCCCCAGACACACATTACACAAGGATACATACACAAATTGTTGGCAGTGCATGGCGATATTGCCAGCAGAGCAATAAAACTTGGCTGATATTTTCTCCCACTTTCACCAACCAAACCAAACCACCACTCGGCCGGATCATGATGGCACAGCAGAATTTCCTCGTGGGTGCAAATGAAAGGAAGTATCTTTGATCACGAACTGATGGGATGAGAGGCTTTTTTCCCGTGTCTGTCATTTTTTGAGTTGAATTAGTAGATGCATTTAGATAGGACACAGCCGTCTCTAGGCAGATGGCTAGCCAGCGTTGCTCGAGCTCTGCACTACTACTTGAGAGTTTGAAGGTGAAGGTCCACATCAAATCAAACCTTGTCTTTTATCTGCGCCACCCACGAGATGCATGTCAACTTGAGATGAAGAAGACGAGATGGAAGTGAAGGCAGATTCGTTTTTAGACACATACATTCAAAATGCCTATTTATAGAAGTTGGAAAGAGTGTCTAGTTGCACAATGGATTTAGTTTTCGTACTTGGCAATCCTCTAACATTTGAAAATGTCAATTATTCCAATTTCAATCAAACACTTCAATTTTGAAATCCCATCGGCCTTCGAAATACTTGAATTTGAGAGACAAAGAATGCGTCTGCAGTGTGATAAGATTCAAGGAGGTGTACGTGACGAGTTTATACGGATGGAGATGCAGATGAAAGTGAAAGTTGCATTCCCTTGTCGAATCGGTTTAAATTCTAGAGAAAACAAGGATAGAATTAGAATTGAATTCAAACAGGTCGTTTGAAGAGAGAGGAAATTCTCAATTCTTCGTTGCATCTCATTACGCCTCCTCCTTCTAAAGTCTTATAGAAATCTTACATGCACGTGGTACATATAAATATATGAGCTGCGGTAGACTTGGTGTCTAACTTAACATTATTACCATGATAAAGAAATGCCAGGAAATTGATTCCCCGGAAATTAATTATCTTTTCAGAAATGCAGTGACCACCGCGTCTCGGATAAAACGATTTATCCCACATTTGCCAGAACGTTGCCACCCTCGTCAAAAGTGTCCAAGTCAGTCGTCGGTTTGTTGAAACACTTCAACTGGGACCAAATCGTTCTGGTGATGTGTCCTACAAAAAGGGATCGTGAATTTGGCGTGCTCGTGGATGCTATCACCGTAAGGATGAAATATGTTATTATAATTTCCCTTATAATAAATGAATTTAGTTCTTAATAACTTTCCACCCGCAAAAAGTGGTTCATTAGGGAGGAAATTAAAAATAGTTTCTGCCCGTTATAAGTATCTGTCAAGTTGTTAAGAAACTTCTTGACTTTGTCCATGAATATCACTTTTGTCCCTGAATTCCTGTATCTGTTGCTCCTTTGTAGGTACTCGCTCAAAAGCACAATATCAACATAACGGACCACCACAACCTTCCAGACTACATTCCTGAAAACTTTCCCGAGATGGTGAAAATTGTGGAGAAAACGTACGAAAGGACTCGAGGTAATTGGAAGTCACTTTGTTATACTTTCTGCATTTTCTTAATTACGTGCTCCGCCGTACGTGTAATTGCTGTGTATGTAACTGTAACCAATGAGATTCACTTCTCGCTCATCCCACCTTAAATAAGAATTCTTAAAGAGATGCTGTATATCATCTACCACAATTATGCAGCCTTGAACGCACCGCAAACTTTCTTCTTCTCAATTTGTATTAATCTCTACTTCACTGACGTCGGCGTTATCCAACTTCATTAATAACGACGAGTTTTAATTGGGTCCATATTTCATTCACGCAGTCGGTACTGCGTACATACAAAAATGTCACCGATTCTGAGAATAATCGCGTTACATTGCTGGACGCATGAACTGCTTAAAAATCGTAGTCATCAAGGTGTACAAGAATTTCATGATTCGTGAATTGAGACACGTGTCGATAGGCACGTAGATATAATGCACGACTGGGAAAAGCGATTTGAAGTTTCTTATTTCGTCTCAAATCCATTTTGGTATACACTCGAGAGACGTCTAGCCCTTGTATAAATGTAAAATAGACCAACAAATTGAGCCAGAATCTTTCAATTTGTCGAGTGTCTTGTCCCCTCACTCCAATTTCTTTCTGCCCAATATCTTCTCCAAATTCGAATTTATTGTCAACTTCAAAGATGCGAAGAGAATTTCGAGCGGAAGTTGACACAGGCACGTGGTGAGTGTGTAGCAAACATTTTTAGGTTCAGGAACCTAAAAGGGATCTGTCTCAAGTACATTTATTTACATGTATTGTCATTGTATCCCTTTCACATGGAAATTGTGAATGTTCCCATTGTACAATTTCCTTATTGTCGCAAAAACGACGACATGAGAGTTAAAGCACTTTCCCTGCTGGAGAAAGAAAATCTGCTCTGCCAATCCTGATCCTATCCCAACAATCTCTTGCATCACAATCGCACAGACAGATTGCAATAGGAGCACCTTTCTTTGTTCGTCTGGTGAAATGGTGGTGAACTCCCTTGAACCTCAAAAGTTGTTGATGTTGATGAGCACTTTCCTCTGGAGAAAGTAAGAAAAAAGTAGAAAAAACAACTTATCAGTGTGTAATTACAAGTACAAAGAAATTGTAAATTTTCTCTCTCAAATTTACATACTCAGTATTACGTAGGCGTTCTTGTGTACTTACATAAATCTGTGTGTCTCACTTTGCCTCATGCCATGATATTGCAAAATCAACTAGTCAATCGCATACATAAACACAATTGAGGATAGGGGAATGAATTGAAAAAGAAGAAAGTGACGTCCTTTGGCTGTTTTTCTGTCTGTCACGTCAACTGAAGTACATTTACTGCATCCCTTCCCGGAAACTTTCTCTCATCTCCACCAATTCTCTTTTATTCTTGATGACACGATTTCCGGGTTTTAATGAGTTTGTACAACGAGACAGGAAACACAATGAGATTCGGAATGTACGTGAGGCTAGGGAAAAAGTAACGAAAATTCAGTGGTTTGAAAAGTGAAAGCTGGTCGAGACCACTTTCTTTCTTTGACTTGAGCACTCATTTGGTATATCTTTTTAGTTTAAAATGCTGAATTTTGAATATAATTTTCAGTTTACGTATTTATTGGAGAACACGTCGCGCTTGTTCACTTGGTCCGGTAAGAAAGTCAAAATATTTACTCGAGACGTGCAATTGAATAAAATATATATGCTATCTATGCAATACAGGGCCATGGCAGCTAAAGGGCTTTTCGACTTGGGAGAATATGTCGTCATATCGGTTGATGATAATAGCAATTTGACCAAGTCTTTCGAAGTTGGTACGTGCATATAATTTGTATTTATTACAAGTCGACGACACACAATTTGCGACACATAAATATGTCTTCAAATATAAAATTGTGTACCACGTTTATTGCAGATTATCTGGATTCATTCCTCGTTAATGGAACAGTTGACATGATGCAGGCTGCGTATCGATCCGTGCTGAAGTTGGTACCTTCCCATCCACAAACGAAAGATTTTGCGTAAGTAATATGTGTAATTGAAATTTTTCTTGTGAAAATTTTCCTGGAGAAGCTGAACGTTTGTTCTTTGAATGCTAATAATTGTCATAATTTCCATTTTCAGGGAAATCGGACGAGTGGTTACCAATTATTCTGCAGCATTTCCATTTTGTATCCCATTTCATCCCTTTATATCGCCAGATGCGCAGGTAAGTCGAAATCATCTCAGCTTACTGCTGAGTATTTGTAATACACGCGTAAAATGATGATTTTACGTAGGGGGTTTAGGGACAAGAAATAGCTACAAAACAATAGCTTAATCTCTGAAAAATCTCATTTTATTAGGCACCACAAGAACGTTTTAAAATTACGGAAACAACGGAAATTATTCGTATTCGTCATATTCTTGATAATCAAAATCCTCAGGGGCAAAATCGTATTCGTATTCGTCACTGTCACTGTCGTAATCATCGGCATGGCCATAGTCCTCCATTTCGAGCATTCCGTAGTCACCAATTTCTCCAGATATGTAGTCGTCACTCAATTCTAAAACACGAGAAAAGTGTAGGAATGCATAAAACAATTCTATAGTTTATTATATGTATGTGCGTACCACCAGCTTGTAATGCTGACCATCTTGGATCGGTGGGCAACCAATTTGGAACAAATCGTTTCGATCGACTATGAACAGGGGCTCCTTGCACTGGAAGAATTAATGCAAAATTATTATAAATCTTGCCAATTTCTATTTTATTAAGTATTTACATACAAGTTAAATGATTGGCATAAAATCCACTTAAGTAAAAAATACCTGATAGGATGACATAGCATATCACCCCAATTAAAGCTATCGTCGTTTTGGACTTCATGTTAATTTCTATAAGTGTTTGTTGTATATTGAGATGATTCGTTGTCAGTGCAAAAACTCTCTGATCTTGTCACTGATTCAGCAATTTATAAGTTTTCGTGATTTGTCAATTATTGCATAATTTCCTAATTGAAATGGAAAACTGAATGTAGTTTGAACAATTCACTGTAATCAGTTTTTTCAATTAAACAATGGAGTACGTAAAGAAATTCAATGGTCGAAATTGCATAACCTAAGTAATCGAAAGTTGTCATTGTTTTGTCAGAAAATATTTAAACCCGTGTGTTTCAATGTCATGCTAATTTCCAACAAAATTGTATTAGTAATATCAGAAAGTATGCAAGTATGTACCAGTTGATGGAGAAAATGAGAAGATTTCTAACAAAAGCAAGCGACAGAATGAGGACATAGCCAACAATTATGATCGATTTCAAATTCCAAGAAATTTCGTCCGACGACTGTCATATTTTTCCAGACTTTTGCAAACTTTTTGAGAAAACACCTTCCAGAATATTTTTTGAAGGTTTCCTTCCTACGAATTGATTTCATACATATGATGAATGGAGAATAGCTTGTTAGTTATGTAGGTATAAAATGACACGTGTGTTGTTTGTGGGTAAATTCCGTGTAGATGAATGACGTGGGTGCTGAAGCCTTAATTATTTTTGGTACTTACTTGCAGGTCCCTGTCGAGGCAGCCTATTTGTACGACGCGGTCATGATTTATGCCAAGGCCCTAAGGGACGTCTTGGACAAAGGACAAGATCCCCGAAACGGGAGCGCAATTTTTGAAAATATTAAAAACCGACCTTATCGCTCAATACAGGGTTATCATGTAAGTCCTACTTACTAAATAATAGTAACATCTCGTTAACCATTCCACCCACAATCACGTACATACACAAATGCATAAGTAGTTGCCATATGTTCACCACCATATCTATCTCAATTTCCCCACCGTCTTCCAACAGGTGTTAATTGACGAGAACGGCGATGCTGAAGGGAATTACACCGTGATATCAATGTTACCCTTACTCGAGGACCAAGATAATACCACACCCCTTCCTCCCAGCAATCAATCAACGTCACCCCCACCTGCATTCTCCGCGTGGTCCAACCTTCACCATTCTCCTGGTTTCACCTCACGTCAAACCAGCTCCTACTACAATTATACGGACCCCGTGACCAACGTAACGATCCGCATGAGCATGCAGCCGGTGGGATATTTTCAACAGGCCATCAGTCCATCGGGAAGTGGGGATGACATTGCTGTGAGTGATGGCATGACTTTTTTAACAAGATTTAGCAGAAATGAGTACAATGACGCAATGCAAAATGAAGCCGTTTCAGTTCAAATCGAGAATTTTCCTTGGCACCATTTTCTCTCAAGAAAGACGCAGTAGTTATTCCAATAATTGGCTTACTTTCCTTTCTCAACGTGCGTACGTAATACCAATAAATGGACGCCGCCGGTGGCTCATTTGCTTCTTCCCCACTTTCATTTTCACAGCCATGTTTCCATTTACATAGTTCTTTCTAGGCGTCAAGCTGGACAATGTGGTGATGGTGGTTCTTGACTCCTGAACTAACCCACCATCACATTCAATGTATTTTGTGAATTGATCTAGGTTTTCCAGTATTTCAATGAATCCCGACCAATTCAATGGGTTGGAGGTTCCGCCCCGAGGACAGAGCCGAGATGTGGTTTCGACAATGAGAAATGTGACACCAAACCGGACTGGAGGATTGTTGTGATCTCTTGTGTTTTCGGGTCTATTTTCATGGTCGCCGTCATCTTACTCTACAAGTAAGATAACTACGTGAATGTTAATATTTGCCAGTTAAGTACTTACCAGAGTGAAAATTAAGTCCCTCATAAATAGCTGGAAAATCCAATCAAGAGTTGTTTAGGGTCGAATTTAGTCTCCGCTTTAAGAATGCATATACGTTGAAAAAATCTCATAACTAAAAGACAGAGACGACGGTTGCGTCTCCTTGTGTGCCGAGAGATTTTTTGCTAATGAGGGGGGGGCGGGGCGAAGAGAGCAGCTGATTTTCATGTAAACAATACAGGCAGTTGCATGTAAAAAGTTGCTTTGGATTTTGAGAGTGACCGTTCCCACACCCAAAACGGGGCATCGCGAACCAGAAAGGGAGCAAAATCCCGACTAAAACTTCTAATTTGCAGCTAATACAAAATGGATTTATTTCATTTTGGTGGCAATGCATTCCTAGTTTGTGCTTTATAATTGCCATGTTGCATAAATTCCATAATAAATTTCAGAGAAAAGTATTGGACAGGAACATGGAAGTTATCATGTTCCAATCTAATACTTTTCTCTGAAATTTATTATGGAATTTATGCAACATGGCAATTATAAAGCACAAACTAGGAATGCATTGCCACCAAAATGAAATAAATCCATTTTGTATTAGCTGCAAATTAGAAGTTTTAGTGACAAAAATCATTTACATTACTGGTAAGTGGTGAGGAGGAAAACTCACTCGCTCACTAGGATGCACAGACTGTACCCAAAATCAAACTTTAAGCTTATCATCATTCTTTTCTGTTCTATTTATTGTTGTAGGGGGGCTAAAATTAAAGAGCATACATAAAGAGAAGTACGTACATATAGACAATTTGCGACAAAAAGTTCTTGACCCCAAAAAGATGTTGCCCCGTTTTGGTAAAACTTGCCAGATTATTATTGCGAGCCACTAAATATGTGTATATTTCCGTATGAAATCAAATGTGGAAACATTATTTCTACTGTACTTCTGCTGCATCCGATTGTCCATGCACAAGTAACAAGTAGGTTAGTTGGTCTGCATGTCAGGCGGAAGTTTATTATTTTTATAACCGAAAATTCAGCAGATGAGACAACTTTCGCAGCATGAGATGAACTTCTTTGGATTGATATCACATGGTCATGTCATGAAGGAAACCACTTGTTTCTCCGCTAACGGTGGTATTCACGAGAAACTTTGGGATATATATGGTCGAATCAGCGTAACAAAAGTAGCGTACTTGTCTCTCTATGCTCCGCTTGTTTGGACCTTTGGGAATATGTATGGTCCACTTTCTGAAATGACTAAAGTTTTCGTCATGACTTTTTAGTCGACATTCGATACATTTTTCAATGCCGTGTCATGTCATTTGCTTGGTGAGTACCTTTTTCTGAAGTTGCATAACAAGACAGTTCAAGTACAAGGAAGAAATGGTTATTTTCCTGAATACGACAGAGATGCCAAATAATAAGTGTTTACCTCAGAAATAATTTCATGGTACAAATTTTTAGTGTTTTTTTTCGAATTTCCACTCAGGCATTACCGCTACGAACAAAAACTCGCTTGTCTCCTATGGAAAATTGATATGAAAGATGTCATCATCATACCCATGGGTCCACTCGAGCCAATCAGTGGAACAAAGAGCACGGTATACAAAATTTTGAAGATTATTATTGTCCAATCGCCCAGATTCGTGTTAAAACTAATTTTTTTAACATGTACCAGGTTGCCCTGTGTCGTCAACTTTTGGGAGCTGCCGTGGATGCAGATGCCCCATTGGAACTGGCCTGCAAAAAGGCCTACACCAGGATCGGGTTCTACAAAGGGATGGTAAGCACAAGAGATACAAATATTTATTCTCATCCTATTTTACATACACATGTCACATATACATAATTTATTTATATATTTGGAATTTAGGTCGTCGCGATAAAACCCATTTACAAGAAAAATATTGATCTCACGAGGAATATTCGAAAGGAGTTAAAACAGGTGAGTGGGTTGTCAATTATAATTTTTTGATTGTCTAAATACGTATTTCTGTAGTTGTCATTTGCATTTATAAACCTTGAACTCTATTGGAAAATCTCAAAAAGTCCAAAAATATAGATTTCCTAGACTGTCTAATCTTACTTTTAAAATTATGACGCATTTATTTGTCACATCAATCCAATAATTCCCCATAATCACCAATTACCTCCCACACTCACACTTCTTCCAAACGAATGGTGTCCACTAATAGACATCTTCTTGAACTCGTGTGATTTTAAGATTTATTTAGAATAAATTGAGACGATGATTGGGCAATTGCTTGTGTAGGCGAGACACACTCACACACAGTTGAAAATAGCACTTGAAAGTTGTCGCATTATTAGATCATCCAAGCAATTTGATTTCATATACACATATTTTTATAACAAACGCAAAACATTCATTTCTTGCGCAACAACATTAGATTTTTACATCTGATTAACCTTCACCTCTAAATTTAACTAGTAAATTGTAAACGTATTTTGAAAATATTTAACTCAATCTCGAATGACGCAAGTGGCACTATTTATTTCTATGTGCTCCAATTATATGCAATTTCTTATCGATACTGATGGAATGCAGGATTGGTAAAATATGTATTTGCTCGTGGAAATTCTGTTGCATTATTCTGCCTGCAATTCGAGCCAGATTTCTGATTTTGCTCCAACAGAGTTGAAGAGATTGAACATAAATACTCCGAATCGCGTCCCATGCAATAAACTATTTGTTCTGCACTTTCCTTTTTCCGTCTAGATCCGTGAACTTCGGCACGAAAACATAATCCCATTTATAGGTGCGAGTGTGGATCACGCGAATATTTGCATTCTCACTGCATACTCGGCCCGTGGAAGTTTGGAGGATGTGCTGCAAAACGAAGATCTCCATTTGGACAAGATGTTTCTGGCCTCCCTTGTATTCGATCTGATTAAGGTTTGCTTATCTTGACTGTCTTGATTTCTCCGATGCTGCGGAAACTAGGGTGCGACGAGAGCATGACAAAGGTTGATTTGCTATTAGCTTAGAGACCATTTTTTGGGGCTGAGGACACTGCGAGACAAACAAATGTAAACTCTGGGATAGTACAAACAACGGCCAAATCAAACGAATCCTATCAAACAAAGCAGATACAGACGGAGAGAGGGCAAAGTTTGTTTGAGTGTCGGAGTGGAGTTGAATAAATTAATCTTACTCAACTCATCATCGCTGTTTTCTTTAGACAAGGCTGAAAAGTAAGTTTGCCGATGATGACAGAGCCCCGATTATTAAACAACTCGCAATAAAGGGTTTCTATCTACTTGTTTGTTGCATAACAGGAGAGAGAGTCGGGGAAATTAACGACAATGCGTTATTTCACCTACATTCCGGAGTGAAAGTCTCTTAATGAAAGCCTTCAAACGGCTTAGGAGGAAAGATTTACTACTTGCCTCTTTCAGATTTTGATGTCCTTTGTACGACATGAGTGAACAATGACCCACAAGTGGTATGACTCCACGGCCACATTTATATGCCTTCAAAAAATTATAAAGTTTAATATTGGATATGAGAAAACAACCATCTGGGAATATGAATTTTCAAAATCCGAGTAAAATTGGATTTTTGGTGTGGGTTTGAACAAATGAAAACATGACTTTTTTCGTGTTTTTGGCTGCTTAATGTGGCCTTGGAATCAAACCCCTTGTTCTTATTCACCTAACAACATATCCAAAGGGCATTGAAATCTGAGAGTGACAGGTAGTGAAGCCTTCCTCCTTAGTAAAGCCCGTGCCTGGATTTGATCGCATTTAATTAAACAAACGGATTATTATGAATATTGATGCAAACTACCCCACTCGACTATCTTCTCCCCTCCCCCCCCCCTAATGAACCCATTTTGCTTATCATCAAATTCATTTGACTCAAATATACACCGAATTTGAAATCGATCGATAAGTTATCGCGTGTTTTCAGACTGACAAATAGACACGACTTACAATCCTTGACTCTGACCGTACTACGGAAATTAGATTAGCTGTTAAATTAGCTGTTGGTTTGTTTGTAGCAAAGATGTGTTGTTTTGCTTCCGTTAACGAATCGTCTTGCTGGCATAAATATTTGCTTAGTTATGCAAATTGAGACAATTCCTGTAATTTCAGGGGATGATTTATCTCCACGATAGTGAAATCATGTCACACGGGAATCTGAAGTCATCTAATTGCTTGGTCGACTCGAGATGGTAAATTTCATACTTTGAAAATGTGATGTTTCAAAATTTCAAATGACACAGAATACATCCTACGTATTTATTTGAAATGCAGGGTCCTACAAATCTCAGACTTTGGCTTGAATGAGTTCAAAGGTATACAGCATTAAAACCTTAGTTAGTGCATATTTCAGTAATAATTAAGTGAATTCCACAATGCCACTCATAGCTGGACAAGACGTAAGGCGAGATATCGGCTCCAGAATCCGAGAGGAGCGGAAGTTACTCTGGAGAGCCCCGGAACTGTTGCGTGATCTGTCCAGCTCTACGTCCAGGGGGACGCAGAAAGGTGATGTCTACTCCTTCGGGATAATTCTGTACGAGTTGGTTGGCAGGGGTGGACCATGGGGAAAAACCGGGCTGACAGTCTCAGGTAATTAACGGAACCAGATTCCCGATTTATTGTACGTTCATTAACCCACATAATTTGAGACGTCCGGTTATACATAAATTTCTCAGAAATAATCGAGAAAGTGGGTCATCCCAAAGATAACGTGTATCTTCGGCCACCAACTCAGCAACTCGATGTGAGCGACACGGTTTTAAAATGTATGTTGGCGTGTTGGGAGGAAGATCCCGAGTCCCGACCGGACTTTAGGTTTATACGCGTCCGACTTAAGGAAATGCAAACTGGACTGTAAGGCTTTAAATCGAACCTTGCTTATCTACATGATATTCGATATTTGACCAATATTTTTGTGCATAAATTTCACAACAGAAAGCCCAACATTTTTGACAATATGCTCTCTATCATGGAGAAGTACGCTTGCAACTTGGAAGATTTAGTCCAGGAGAGAACGACGCAACTTATCCAAGAAAAAACCAAGACTGATGCTTTACTCCACCGAATGCTTCCAAAGTAATTATGCGCTTCACTGATCAGCTTATTGAGAAATTTTGTATTAAAATATACCTAAAAATCTAGGTCAGTGGCAGAGTCGCTGAAAAGAGGGGCACCCGTGGAAGCAGAAAGTTTTGACTATGTGACAATTTACTTCTCTGACGTAGTTGGATTTACGAAATTATCTGCGGAAAGTACGCCCATGCAGGTACAGGAGAACTTGCTATTCATTTTTACAGCCAAATAGCAGCCAATTACGCAAAATTATTTTACAGGTGGTTGAATTGCTGAATGATCTTTACACCTGCTTTGACTCAATTATTTCGAATTATGACGTCTACAAGGTTGAGACGATTGGTATGTGCAATTTTTTGAAAAATATGATATTATATGATTAGTATTATAATATAATATATATTTTTAAATTATATAGGTGATGCGTATATGGTAAGTTTTTCACCATTTATACTTTATTACTCATAAATAGAAATTATATAAGTCACTTCTAAACTTGTCTCCTCTTTTCCGTTTTTCTAGGTGGTACGTCACAGAATTCTAATTACGGTTTCGTTGAGAAGTTTTATCATGAATCTACACACGTGTTGTTTCTAATTCATTCCTGTTTAAATGTAACAATGTAGGTTAGTGGGTTACCAATCCGAAATGGGAATCAACACGCTGGCGAAGTAGCATCCATGTCTTTGCACTTATTAGATCGCATTCGCAATTTCGAAATACAGCATCGACCAGGAGAACGACTCAAACTAAGGATTGGGATCCACTCTGGTGAGAGACACAATAATTCGCTTATCAGTTGATACAGTCCATAGTGTGAGCTTTTGTTATGTTTCCATTATAAATGCGGTGATCACACCCGAGGCGAATGTTCCAAATTATATTGGTGTTAACGCCGCCTTTTTATTCCGTATGTATGCATTTAAATCGAGGATGACTTTCTTATCTGTATCAATTTGGGCTTATTTTTTGTCTAGAGAATTTAATTTGTGTTGCACCGTTGTTTGGCTAGACATCCGTTGCATCCTAATTTTATCTCAATCACTGTCCAAATAAATCCAGCAATTAAAAAGTCCTCACACTATGCAGGCGAAAGATCCAGATCAGAGACAACAGTTATACATACACCATTATACAGTAAATAATCCAACAAATTAATTCCAGGTCCCGTCGTTGCTGGCGTCGTGGGGCTTAAAATGTAAGTGACCACTTTGCTGCTTCTGCGAATGGATCTCAATATTGATTATTTAATGTCTACCACATAGGCCTCGCTATTGTCTGTTTGGGGACACTGTTAATACCGCATCGAGAATGGAGAGTTCCGGTGAGGCGTTAAAAATCCACATTTCCGAAGTTACCAAAAACGTATTGGAGGCGTTGGGAGGATATTATTACACCGAGAGAGGGATTATACCAATCAAGGCGAGTAGGATTCGGATTAATTAGTGCGAACCGAGGGCTTACACGATATGTATGAGAAGATTCTAATGTGTTTGGGATTACAGGGTAAAGGAGAAATGCGAACGTATTGGTTGACCGGAGAAGATCCTTCAAAATCCAGGAGGAATTCCACCGAAGCGGAAGAATCCGCTGCGACTAATCTCCTTCTACGCAACAATAATTGCACGGAATGCATCTGTGAATGTGAAAGTGGTCAGAGGGGTGAACCAGGTAATGGATCTTATAGTATGCAAATTATGCAATATACATTTTTCCATGATATCAAAAACAATTTGATTTGCAATTATGCGGACATATTGCTCAACATTACTTATTCTTTATTTTTAGAGCAAAATATATGTCCCAACAAATGCTTGGCACTGGACGTGAACGGCGTTGCGGTTGGAGATCAGCCAAACCAACTCATAAACATGCGACTTTTCAAACCTACTACGTGGTTGTTGGCAGAATGCAACAATGGAAAACTGGTAATAATAAATGTCATGAAAATGCACCTGAAAAATGGTTTTTTAACTCTTTCTCTTCACATTTTCCCTTCAGGATCACATTGGCGGAGGCGTAAACAAGAAAACTATTGGAATCGGAGGACGGTATGTGAGCTGTTCCAACGTGTTTCAAGAATGCAAGGCGAGCATTATTAAGGAACTCAAGAAAACTGGAACCTCTCATCCGTCAAATAGGTTCCGATCTGCTCCAATAATCACTTTCATCGACACCTCCTCCAACCCATTCACGGGAACACCGGGAGGTTTTCCATACGAGGAACCAAAGTTTGTTTAAAATCCCATCAACAAAACAACAACGATCTGCCAAGAAAAATATGGAGCAGACGGAAAGAAAGCGGTGCATACTATTTTGCATAGAAAGTAATATTGGTTTGGCATTTGGTGTCTCATGACATGAATTTTTGTTGATTCTACACAAACCATTTAAAAATATTCTCTCTCAATGTCTCAAACTTTATATTTAATTATTTACAAAATGCAACAAACCGAATCCGAATTCCACATTTTACTATGCGACTGATGCATACTGTGAGTAAAATGTAGTTACAAACTTATGTAGTTAGATAAAATTGTTGTAGGAAATAGTGGAAATTATATATTTTAGAAGATACATATTGATATTGATATTAATTATCGTAACGTTGTTTTTGAACAAATGTGAAGCATGTACCTTGTCGTGGGTGAAAGTTGATGTAATATTTACTATATATGGTCGTTCGTACCTTCTCAATGTGATTATTCAAGTATTATATGAAAACTGGTACAATTGTTAAATTAAACTATTGTGTAAAAAACACTGAAAAAATATTTGTGGATATTATGAAATACATGTATTACATACAACAATTGTAAATTTGTAGTAGAGTAGAAGTATTCAATATTATTCGTAATTTCTTGTGTAACATGTGCATATAATAAAAAATCGTTTAAAAATTGAACTTAATTTGTGCTTGGAGATAACTTGCCCATGAAAATTCTGCGTCCGCCCTAACCTGAAATGCATTGTTTTCTTAGAGATCCTTCCCTCATAAATTGCGAAGGTTACATATGCATGCTAATTATTAAAGTGTCATAAAATTATTTAAAGCCACTTTTATCCTTGAAACTTATCCCAAATCCCACCCCAATTTCACGAAGTCACTTCAACTCGAGTAAGAAACACCATACATTCCAGACGAGCAGAATGGAACAGGTAAAAATAATAACTTTGCACAAAAGAACAATTAATCATTCACACAAATAGGAGATCCTCCCAACCATTAATCAAACACTTTGATCATGCAAAACCCAGCTAATTGACATTAGTCTTATACTTTGTAACGACAAAATCGACAAAAAACCCTCTTAATTAATTAAAATTCTAAAAAATGCATCTCATTTCTTTAATGGATTGCATTAATATATTCATAATTTATTTATTTATGTAGGGACAGATTCTTCCCCTGTTATGATATCACATCATCTCAAATCAAGTATCAAGAACAGCCATCACGATTGAATGATTTACTTCCTTGGTTTCACAATGCATCGATTTAAATCTCCAAAAAAACTTCACCTCCATCCATCCAAACAAGCCCAGAGACCACAATGATCATCACCTCTCACACATAAAACAAAATCAATCTCGACCATCACATCAAAATTGTAAATAAAAACAGATTGACCACAAAAGAGGAAGGAAATACGAGCACGTCGCATCGTCGTGGACATGTCCAAAGTCAGAGGTTCGAACAAAAGGAGTGAACGCCCAAAAAAGTAGAATTTTACATACGTAAATGGCAACTTTTCAGCATTCCTGCGATCAATCTAGATCATGGATAATCCCTGAAAATGATATGACAAGGAATTTCTCCTACTGTGATGAAATTTGAGTCGGACAGATCTAAATATAAACAAATAAATTATATCTGCACAAACTAATTTTCTTAAAGAACGATAAAAATGCACATTCATCACAACATTCAATTGTTCAAAAAAAGTTCATAAATTCCAATCGCTTTTCTAATAGGGATTATTATTACTATTCCATCGAAGCAGTGGTCTCAAATTAGTATGCAGATTGGAGATCAATTCTTGACAAGGTGAACGGGTTTACCTCCACGGAATATGCATGCATACGATACCTGCACGCGATAAACAGATAGCATTCCTTAAACTAAAATGCAGTTATGTAGTGAGCAGATAGGTTCTGGTTAAGTGTTATCGAACAATAAGATACATGATATAATAGCTGTGCGGCGACTTTATGTACTATCTCATGTGACAGGGCGTTGCAGTTTTAACACCATGATTATGATGGGTAAATTTCGTTTCTGAATATTTGTAATGTCCAGTATTTGAATTTATGTGTACTTGGCAAAATCAGCATGAACATTAAAATGCCAAAATTCACTAGTTGTACATTATTTTTTAGAAAAACATTCTAAATTTCTGAAATTTGGAAAACCAGTAAGCATCTTCAAGAATGAACCCCTAATCTCAAAATGGCTAAAATTCACGAGTCATACATTATATTTTTAGAAAAATTTGTACATTTCTGAAAATTTGGAAAACCAGCAAATTATTAGCATCTTCAAGAATGAAACGCTAATCTCATCCTATTTCTATGTAATCTCTTCCCATTTGCGAATGTATCAACGTTACCATTGCTGCATGCACGACTCACTTTGAGCACTTATTATTATCCCAGTGCAAACGCAAACTGCGGCAAAATAGGCAAGTTTTTGCTCTACCCCTTGAATTGAACGCTGTCTTCTTTGTCTAGGATGGCTTGTAATGAAAAGGATATGAAAAATCACTCGACCGATCTCATTCCTTCCAAAGCTCTTGATGTGGCAACTCTCTATCGCAAATTAATTTCCTACCTGTCCCACAATTTGCATACAATTCGTAAATCTGTGCTAAACTCGGATCCTTTTTCTGCACTGTGTGAAAAATAAAATAGATTGTTGATTGATAATTCGTATTTTAAATAAATTTCAATCATCTTAAAAATAGTTTCGGCAAAACTGTGTATTAAGAAAAAATTATCGAACCTCTCCGCTTACCTGTTTACACGTATAAACTGAAAATTAACCCAGTATTGAATTAAGAGAGAACTGTGATAAAAAGTGACTTTAATAAAGTTAGTTAAACACGTCTGACTTTCGCTAAATCATTTTGTGGTCAATGAGAGTTTTATGTTTTGAGGAAAATCGCTGTGCCAGTTTTTTCCTTATAAAAACAATCTAATAAAAAATTAAATTCGAGTACTCATCAAAAATATCAGACTTTAAATAAATAATAATCTGAAATTTTATCGCACGTGTTAATTAACAATTTTCATATTTGATGAAGTTAAGTAAATTAAGTTGTACCCAAAATTAGTTAAGTTACAACTATCGCATTAATTAAGTTGTAACAAATAAAAAATTGGGTTGAGTACAATTACAAGTTAAATGTTTGCGATTTACATAAACATTTTCGTGACTTCATGTCATCCAAAAAGTGCAACAAGAATCGCGTGGTTATAACTTTAAAGTCAAACTGCAATAATCTAAATTTTTAACCACAATTCCCCTAAAGATGAAATTCTAATCAAATTCGAAAAGTGAATGTTAATGCCAAAGTTTATGGAGGGTCAAGTTTAAAATACCTGAATCATCATATTAACGCCGTGCTCGTTATTCGAGACACTTTTATCTCAGATTAAATTGCATGTAGACAAAGCCGACTCGTTTACATAAATCTGTTGCGTTCGACTTTGTGATAATATTCATTTTGTAACTTTAGCACATTGTATTTCTACTGCAACGGAGTGGCTCCGTTTCTTTGAACAGAAATCAAATGTAGCAAGAAAAAAAACTTGCATTATAAATCTACCCAAGAAATTTCACTTTGTGCAAATAAACCGTGACTGATTTTTAAAAGATAGAAAAAGTTATAAAATGGGGAACTTTGCTTGCATTTGGACATTAACTATTTGCTTGTTGATCTCTGCCAATTTCTTTTTGGAAATTAATGGACATCATGATCATGATCATGATCATCGCCAAGAATATTTTGGTGTGACTGATGCCACTGCCAACTTTACCACGCCTTCTGTACCGGAACAGTTTGGGAATGAAACTGGAGTTCGGAACAAACGAAATGCTGGAGCAAATAGCCCTGAAAGTAAGTATTTAGTTCCATTTAAGTAGTTTAATCTTTCAGTTTTTTATAACAAAGTTCAAGGAAGTGAGTAAATAGATAAGTAGACGGCTTAACTGATGAGAAAACAAACAATTTTACACAAAGTGTAAAATTTCGCGTCAAGGTGAATACTTTTGTGTCAAATTGTGTCACAAAACTTGTGACGTGATAATAGTCGCGTCATGTCAAAAGTGCCACACCAACCCTCCAGGGGTTATCAGTTTGGGTTCTTTCTTATAAAAATCACGCTGCTCAGCACGACATGTTTACCACTTTAATTGAGAGGCCTCTTTTTTATTTGAAGATTCTCCAAAGAATTGGCACAGCATGTTCAAACAAGGAATTACATGGTATTTGGCCATAAGCTAAGAAACTTCTAATCAGTGGTGACTTTAAAGGAATGGAAGAAAATTATAATTATGTGCATCTTAAGTAAAATGGAAAGGATCTCCAAAAATTAATCTGTAAAAATAATAGTTCTTATGGGTTCGGCAAAAGTAGAAAAATTTATTTTAAATCTATTTTTTCGCATAAATTCATTTTTATTTGATCATTTCGATCTGTAATAAAACTGTTTGAGCACACGTTTTGGACTAAATGTTATAATAACACTTTCGTTTCGATTGGTAAATATTATTTTTGTTTGTGAATGGTTGGAGACTAGCACAAATAGGTAAATCAAGTATGCATTTTGCGATCCATTTCAATTTTTCATATTAAATTATACCGAGCAGAACTATCGCACTTTGTTGCATTTAAAATTGAACTCTAAGCAAAAAGTTACATATTTACTTGATATGTTACAAAACCAAGCATGCGTTGATTACTGTGAGAGCTGAATTTGGTTCGTACATAGTTTACAATTTGAACCCATTAATTTAAAATTGATACATACGTATGCACTTAAAAACTGTGGTTTCGTGAAGCTTGATACACATATTACACCAGACAATTCAAAGTTCAGGACAAGTCAAGTCCATTTGAATAAAAAAAATGAATATTGCTCAAAGTCGTGAGAGAATAATGTATATTTGGGAATTTGTAATAAACAGGACATTCAAATTGTACGCATGTAAGTATTCCCCAAAATTTGCCTATTTTTTACACGTGAATGAATCCTAATTCTTTTTTAATTCATCATTAAGCCCAAAATTAAGACACTTTCCGACCTTTTTTATTGAGACATCGCCGGATGAGAAGTAAATACGTGGTGAAATCCATCCTGTCAATTTTTTCATTATTCGCATTTATGGGAAGCAACTTCTTGCTTTGATGCGTATCGCAGGTTCAGCTTAATTGTTATGAAAAATATATGAGCTTGGCACAAATTTTTCTTTTTTGTGACATTGGAATTATTTTCTTTATTTATGATTCGGATATGGCACCGGAAGTTTATATGCATTGTTTCTTTTACTCGTTGTAGGAAAACACCTTAATTAACTCGATTAAAGAGGCAAATTGTGGCAATGCTGTAACGTTTTGCGGCGGGTGTTTCATGATAAGCACTTTTGTTTGAGGTCAACTTATAAAGTGGTTCCGCTAAAATGGCCATATGGTCAATAAATCCATGATACCATTGGATCATCCCAAGAAAAGTCTTTAAAAGTTTTCTTGTTGATGGGAATTCAAAATTTTGAATGGCCCTGACCTTTTCAGGGTCTATTTCTATGCTTTTGGAGGACACAATGTGACCTAGGAAGGTTGCGCGATTCTTCCCAAAATGGCATTTTGATTTTTTAAGTGTCAGGCCAGCTTTTCGAAACCGTTCTAAGACAGTCTCGAGATGCCTTTTGTGATCACTAAAGTTTTCACTAAATACGAGGACATCATCTTGATAAATTAACACAAATTCATCGAGACCAGCAAGAAGCTCGTTCATCATCCTCTGATAGGACGCCGCAGCATTCTTGAGTCCGAAGCACATCATGTTAAACTCAAAAAGGCCCCTTTGGGTACAGAATGAGGTGTACTTACGGCTCTTACGATCCATAGGGATCTGCCAGTACCCTTTCTCTGCATCCATTGTACTGATATACTTTGCGTTGGCCAACTTACGGAGAAGGTCATGAACGCGAGGAATGGGAAAACTGTCATTATCGGTATATCTATTGATGTGTCTCAAATCAACACAAAATCGCCAAGTCCCATCCGTTTTCTCTTTCAAAAGAACAGGACTTGCGTATGGGGAATCTGATGGACGGATCACCCCCAACTTTAGCATTTCGTCAACTTGCCGGTTGATCTCTGCGTGTTTGTGGGGTGCCGTGGGATACGGACGCTGTCTCTTTGGATGCTCCTCCATCATTTTTATTGTGTGTTTGACACCTTTTATTCTCCCTAGTGGGGCATCGACTACGTCGGGAAACTTTTTGATAAGCTCCTTCAGTTGGTCGGATTCGAATTCGCTCACTAATTGTAAATTGCAATTGGATACGTGAACTTTACTAACTGTGAGTGGGGACTTTTGACTTGGAAAGGAGTCTGAAAAACCCCATTCCAGTGACCCTATGTCCAACACTAACCCACAATTATGAAGAAAGTCCATACCCAAGAGCATTTCATTCGAGCTATTCATGACAGCGAAAGTGTGAGTGTATTGACGATCATTTAAATTAAATTTTAAGGTAACCATACCAGTAGGAAGAGACTCAGTACGATCTAGCATGATAACTGGTCCTTCTACCCATTTATTTACAGAAAATCATTTCCCTAATACTTTCCTAAGCGATTTTAAAGTTACAATTGAAATCGTAGAACCAGTATCCGCTAAGGCATTTAATTTACAGGAGGGAAAAGTAATAGGAAGGATAGGAATTAGTCGGTTGGGGTCTTGAATTAGAGGATGAGTAACCACAAATCCGTGGATGGTTACTCCCTCCTCCCGTTTCCCGTCGCATCTTGTGACGATTGTTGACGCTGAGAGTGTTGATCACTCCCTTGACCACAATTCACTTGAGGCTGTTGACGACGACGACAATTCTGGGTGGTATGGTTGCTTAAATGGGGACAATATGTACACACTTTCGGTCGACCTTGTTGTCGCTGCTGTTGTGGTTGTTGTTGTTGTTGTTGTTGTCTATTTGAAGGTGGTGGGGACTTCCTTCCAGAATTAGCAGAATTTGTTTGATGAGATTCCACTTTCTTCTCACCTTTTTGCCAGGATTTGTACTTGTTGTGGGACTTCTCTTGTATAGGACGCTCAATTTTTGACGCATAGTTAATGAGGTCCACAACCGTTGCAGCACGACTCGCGAGGAGATTTGCTTCAAGTACGGTAAAGCTCTTTCTGCAATGAAGGTGACAATCTCTGCTTCTTTGTTGTTGGTTGTCATCCGGTACACTTTCAGGTACTGGAGATCCATCTCGAAGGCGAACTTCTGGAACGGTTCGTTGTCATTCTGCCGACGTAAAAGTAACTTCTCTAGTGCAGCATGAAGATCAGAATCCGATGCATACATGGTGATGAAATGTTTTTTAAAATCGTCCCATGTACGAGCGAAAAGTTTGGTGCGTTGCCACCACAATGATTGATTGGGGTCTTGATTGAAGACGGCAGGCAGTGATAGGATCCAATCTTTCCGGAGAAAGCGCTTCCGTTCCATATGATTCTCTAATTCCATGATGAAATTTTCAGCTGAATCAATGTTCGGGTTAAATTTTGGTGGAGGAATATTGCCTACGGAATGAAATAGTACAGGTCCTGACGAAGAAGAACGAGTTTGCATGATTGCATCGGTAGGATTTGTAGGGATTTCTTCCTCTTTGCCATCCATGATTCTGGTGCGAGAAATGCACCACGCTGGAACGGCATCTTCTTTATTCTCATTTGGAGGGTTATTGACCTGTGGAGGAGAATGCGACAAGAATTGCGGTGGTGGAGGACAAGACAAGAATTGTGGTGGTGGAGGGACGCCACGAAGTTCAACGCAGGATGAGGGGTCATCTTGATTTGGTAGCGTGGGTATCATCTCCTTGGAAGGAGTTTGAACCCTTGAATTTGCATGGATGAACTCATTGATGATGCTGGACTGAGCTTGAATAGTTTGGTCTTGCTTATCTATGGTAGTTTGCATCCTCGTCAATTGTTCATGAATCCAAGTGACCTCGTCTTCAAATGATGACTTCATGTGGTTCTGGAAGTTTCCCATTTCCTTTTCCACAATAGCATAATTGCTTTTTATGCAGGATGCTAAATGGTTCCTGTACCTTCCTATTTGTTCACCGAGGTGCCTAATCTTCTCATCTACATATTCCTGGAAGGGTATATTTGACTGTTGAGGGTACGGGTAGTCATAACCAGTAAGGCCGGTAAGGATAGGATCAGGAGAGGAAGAATTATGCAAAGCTGCCTGTTCCGATACCAATTGTCCTACTGCTTCGTGCCTATTCTCACAACGAATATCGAATTCCAACAAAAGTTGCTTGACCCTAACTTCTAGGCTATTCACCCGACGCCACAATGCATCGGTTTGCTCACCAAGTTGGGAATTTTGATGATTACTCGTTAGAATGAAAATTTGAGCAATTTCAGAGGTTAACGAATCAAAAATGCGTCTAATTCTTACAAATTGATCATGATTTTTGTTCTGGGCGGCAAAAATGATCTCGATATCCCTATTCAGAACGTTTAACTGGTTACCTACTTTTTTACGACGACGATCCGCATTCACAGATTCAAAACGTGGAATCATCCAACAAGGTAAGTGAGGCAAAAAATACTTTGTTACCAGACTGTTCACCAGGACACCGAGCAAGAGGAGGACCGCAGCGATTCCAAATACTTCCATCATGAAGAGAAATCCCCCATACCACCATGATGACGCTACGAGGGGCGCTGTTGCCTCTGAGGTCACGTTTCCCTTGAGGTTGGTCAGCCCGGTCATGTCGACGAAGCCGAAGAGTTGAGTCAGCATTCCCATGATGTCGGATGAGGTTGTACCATCCAGGAAGTGGAGTAATATGTAATTTAATACGTAAAACACACTTTCCACTGCCAACGACTCAAAACTGTTCACAAACTCACTGTTTTTGCCCTTCGCACTTTTTATCGCGAAGGATTTCCAAGTTTATTATTGCACTTTTTATTACTAAGGGTTTCGTAGCACCAATTTGTAACGCTCCCTATTCTATTATGGGATTGCGTGTCCTGATTCACCTTACTTGCAACGAAGTAGTTTATTTAACCCCAATTAAATGCATACTGACTGATTCTCTCCTTATAATTGTTCTTCATCGTTACTGCATTCTACTTGAAGAATTGATTATTAATCTCCTGCCGTCTTTAAGCCGCACTTGATTCAATATTCAATTCCTAATCAGTTGAAGTACAATTTTTTTCATGGACTAGTTAAGAAAGAAAACCGATCGTCGTAAAAAGATGACGTGTGAAGGTTGTCACTACTTTGTTGCATTTTATTTGTTTTTTTGCTTGTTATTGGGTTAACCAAATTAGTATACGATAATTGTTGTAAAGGTTTTTACTGGTCCAAATTCAAGTGTATTCTAAACGATAATTGCAATGCTATTCCCATTCCAGAGAATCGAGATTGTTGTCATTATGCATGACTTTTTTACGCATGTGCAATTTTTCGAGGTTGTGATTTTCCTATTTCAAAACTTGCTCGTGATCAAAATGTGGACGTGCTCATTAAAATTATCTCAAAGAAGGTCAACAAATGCTTGAGAAGGACAATAATGAACACTTCAAATCTATTTATGTGTATCTAGTTCAGCGTATTGATACAAAAAAAAACCTTTTGTGATTCAAAACCGACAATTCCTAATTGCAATAAAGAGTACACAAAGCATAGCAATCTTTCCTCGCGTAAGGAAGATGCCTCAAATCTTATAGAAGACCAGAAACCAACCAATATTTAAAAACATGGTCATCAACCACAATTTAAATCAAGGTTTCATATTATTCACCCTCTTTTTATCTGAGTACACCATCAAAATTCTAATAGCCAAGGCTTATTTTAATACATACATGTGAGAAAGGGTTGCAATAATTACATGCAACTATTTCAGTACGAGAAGGAAGCAAACCCAAACGTATTAATGGGAAGTGAGCACTTGCATAAGAAGGAACAACACCATTTGAATTAATTTTATTGATAATTGCTCACGACTGACGTACATAGGTTAAAGGTGGCAAACTAGCAAAACATATTAGATAACTTCTTCTGGCTGGATTATGCAGTTATATAATTTTCGTGGCTCTATATTCTATAAAAAATATATGAAAATCTTATCATAAATATATGCAATAGGCCACCCAAAACTATGCATGATCAGTAGTTCATAAGTAATTATTTCCATAATGCAGTTGGAGTTGGTCATGTGTGCGGCCGCCTTGACCCGTCTGCGACTAGATTCATTCTAATAAACGAAGATGCTGCTTGACAGTTTGAACGTCTCCTGCATGTGCATTTTTTTTAATGAAAGAAGAACATCATTCACATATATCGAGTGGATCCCCTCTTGTGTTTGACACTTAATTATAGCCACAAACACGACATCCTTTGGAATTAAGGACTATTCCTCTTCACTTTAATCAAAAATGGAACATCTCAATACTATCTGCTATACTTTTAGTAAAAGTTGATTGTTCACTGACAAACTCAATTCATAACTCAGGAGCGGAACGATCGTCATGAAAGTGCGATTGCGAAATCACTTCCATAATAAATAATCCAGTCTCTCCATAAATGCTCATATTGTTTCGCACCTAAAAACATTTTACTTATCTATGATACATAATTTACTACATTTTTACTATTGAATAAAAGATTCGATTGTTGCATGAATAATTCAAGTGCATCGAGATATGCATGCATCGTGTGGACAGATGCACGATGCATATTTTACGCAATCTTAACTACCCTCGTTTAAATCACTCCTTTGTCATGAGTTCATGCCTTTTTCTAAACAAACCATGCATGCGTTGATACGTAGGGGAGGAATTATTGACTTTTCTCTTCAATTCAGGACTTTATTTATTTAAAGAAACTGGGGCACGAGGAGGGAGTCGCAGATAATTACTCATTACATAAAATATGTTAAGAGGGCTAGTAGATTGAAGACGAGCCATAAAAATTGTCATGCCATAAAGGTTAAGAGCAGTACAATACGTTGGATGCATTTTCTAAAAGTGCATGACAAGTGCATGCTCATAAAATTAACATACAATTGGTATGAAATATGGTGACCACTTTATCGCATATTATTATTACTACCCTGGGGTCGGAATTCCATTTCGACGATAAGTAAGTGCAGATAAATAGTTGCGACTTGAGTCGAAATATTATTAGTATCAGGTACTACCACATACTAAATAGGTGTACTGTACGTCCTCCCATGTACACACGTTTAACGTGGCCAATGATGGATGAGAATGGATGCAGCATTAGTCTTGAACTGATTAATTCAGTAGGTTTTCTGTTTTTAGCTAACTTAAATGTTGCATTTTATACAAAGACTGAAAGTGAATGTGGTGGTGGTTGAGTTTAAGGACGATGAAATTTATGTATCTATGTACCTTTAGCTATTTTTCTAGCTGTGCGGTATTCACAATATGTATGTAAGTGATCCATTTGTCACTCATGCAAATCCAGGCTAATTGGTTTCAGTGTGTCATGCCTTGTGCGATAATATTATAAATACATAAATACATAATTGAGCGTATGATATTTTTAATTCAGCACGAGAATAGTGGGACTTTGAAACCTTTTCTATTCAAAATTGTACGTATTTATGAATAAATGCCATGTTATGACACACTTTTTCGTATATAAATGCAAACCCAACTATTTATACATATTTCCACTACAATCGCTACAAAACAAGTATTTTTTAACACCGCTCGTTCATGGTACATCCCATTCATCCTCTTTCTTATTAATTGGCACGTTTTACTTCTTCTTCTGGTTTGTTAACACGTGCGCCAATATAACTCGATTGAAAAATACATGTCCACTGAGGAGCGGAATAATTAGTTAGATAACCCATAAAAAAGTTAACATTGAAAAGGATTTATTCAGGGTGCATAAACTTTTTTGTTGTCCGTGGTTTCTCCTAAGGGGGTGATGCCAGGATGAAAATTTTTATTCAAAAATTAAAAGTTGGGGAATTGCATGCAATTTTGCTTTGAATTTGGGTGGTTTCCATGGCAAAAGTGCATGCAATTCCCCAACTTTTAATTTTTGAATAAAAATTTTCATCCTGGCATCACCCCCTTAGGAGAAACCACGGACAACAAAAAAGTTTATGCACCCTGGGATTTATTTATTCGTTTATTATTGATTTTTTATGGTTGCACTAATCTGCAGGAGTCTGCCTATTAAATATGTGATCTTGTTTCCCTAATGAATTTATTATCAACGTGAAGAAGTCAAAAGCGCAAAGGAGATCATCTATTTTCTATTCTGGTGACACTATCCCCTTGAGAATTTCTTATGCAACTCAAAGCAATCTTGATAATAAAAACAAATGGGCAATGTCAGCAGAATGCAATTTTTATCAAGTCTCAAGTATTTTTGAACTTCATTAACATCACTAAAATGGAAAGTTTGTTAAGTACATATTTAACTTTTATCTACTAAAATGACACCTCGTCTTTTAATTACATTGTTTCAAATTAGTATCTGTCATACATCCAAGTAGTTCACACACTCGTCGTAACAATGCTAATCCACAACTCTTGAGGGATATCGTATTGCAATGCATGATGTGAAATTAACAATGAGCATGATAACAACAATAGGATTGATATTAGATATTCTGTCACGAGTATGAGAATTAAAGGCAAGGATTATGTGACATGGTACAAAAAATAAAGTACAATTTTCGATTTGCACTTAAGTAGATACGTATTTGCAGAGACAATGTGATAACGAAAGGGAGAGGCCCTGCGGTGTCAAGTCAGTCAGTCAATGTGTGATTATTATATAAGACTGCGGCGGCTATCCCCCTATTTATTTATGGTTAGAATTCTGATCTTTAAAACAAATTATTTGTTCGCATTGTAATAAA